GATGATAAATAGATAGATCACATTAGAAAAAGACATGGTGGGCTTAATTTTAACGATATAAAGAAAAGCTTTGAAATAGTAGCTTTATGTCATTGATAGATCCATAAAATTACTAAATAATATAATATATCAAATAAAATTTTTTATAAAGTGAGTAATTTTAATTTAATTATCTTAATAAAAGTAAAATATAATTATAAAACCATTGATAAAATTAAATCAAAAATTAAAAAAATATTAAAGCATAATATAAACAGTGGAATATTATATGTCGTAGATTTACATATATCTAATTATCAAATGACAATCAAGTAATTTTTACCAATATAGCGAATTATATATTTTACAGAAAACTATAAAATATTCATAAGGACACCAGAAAATATCTTTTAAAGACATTGTGGGATGAATAATATGAAGATGAAATTTTAATAATATTTTAACTTAAAATAAATAGATGGCGTTAAATAATTGAATGCAAATTGTTGCTCAAGAGCATTGATTAGTAAAATTTGTTACATTATTAACTGTAATATATTCTCTAACTGTCAAATATGTCTGTAAAAGTGGAATTTTACCTAGTATTTTATAACTAATTCTATATAATAGAGTAAAATCAACTATATGTCTACTTACTTTTTATAAATAAATTTCTTAAAATTGTTTGGATTAAATTATTACCATGCTCTTATATTAAGGTATATACAATACAAGTAATTTAATTCCCCCCCCCCACCCCTTATGAAAATCCTGGCTACGCCTATGGAACAAACCTATTAGAAATTAAATTTAGTACTCAATTCGTTTTAAACGAATTATATCTTATTTGTTAAATATTTATTAACATAAGATTTTAAAATTACTCTTTGTTAAATGGTTAATTTTTTAAATTATTTATAATTTAACAATAAATATTTTTATATTAAAGCTTACCTCAATTTTTTATATTTGATATTGATAGAAGATGTCGTTATTTGGCATTCACTCAGATGGGTCAAGATTTGGTATTGAATTTAGATCAAAAATATTTTGTAGGAACTTGTCAATTCAAAGTCTTTATTTGCAATTACAAATACAATATTTCAATTTTAAACCTGAAATTTTTGTCGATAAAATTTATAAATGGTAGCATAACGAGAATTTTTTTTTTATGCAACAATCATATTTACTCCAACCAATTTATACTCCCTACCATATGCCCCATGTGTAATGGAGTCATACTAGATCCCCTCTCCCATTTTAGCACGTATTTAAGCAAAAAATATAATAAAATAAATTAAAGTGATTATTCAAGTTATTTGGAATAATTAATCATATTTAAAATAGAATGATATGATTATTCAAGATTGAATAAAATGAATATTCGAATTAGTGATCTGCATCGGGCTTAATTTTTCAAGCCCGGCCGAAATTTTTAAAAAAAATTTTGCCAGGCCCGGCCCAAACCCGAGATTTTTTTAAAAAATTTTGCCAGGCCCGGCCCAAACACGAGATTTTTTTAAAAAATGTTGCCGGCCCGGCCCGAACCTGAAATTATTTTTGAAAAAATTTACTGGCCCGGCCTGAATTTATTATAAATATAGAAATTAATTTTTATAAATAATTCAAAATAAATGATATATGTTATATGGTGTCTAGTAGAGGTGGGCGCGAGCCTAATTTTTTATTCACGACCCGCCCGCTCACGGTGGCTATAAAAAAAATTCACGCCCATTCACGCTTACCATTAAAAAAATTTCGACCCGACCCGCCCGCTCACGACAAGCAATATTTTGATTCACGCCCATCACGCCCGAAAATTCACGGTGTTTTTAAATTTTTCAAAACTATTGCTATAATTTTACACTTTTTGAATTCATTATATTATTTCTCTAATTTCATAATCCATATTAATAACAAAAAATAAATATAATCTATAAATCGAAATTTATTTAGAAAAAAAAGAATGTCCATCTTTTTTTTATTTCAATTGTGTACGCCTTTCCTCTAATAAGAGATCGGCTACACAAAATAACTTTTCACTAGAAGCCAAACTTGCAGCTGACAAATTTTACTTGATAATTTTCTCAAAAAAGGAAATGAATATTCCTGCTTCCAAAACTTCAAAATATTGTCGTTATTTATCTTATATGAATCTTTTAAGTTCATCCTCAGAGCTTTCATCGGTAATGTTGATGCTTCATCAGAATCATCTAGAAATTCACTAAATTTTAGAATATACGGTCTTTTATGAGTGTAGGATGAATTAGGAAAGTGATAGTTGGTTATGACCATTTAGAATATACAGTTTTTTATGAGTTTAGGATAAGTTAGGAAAGTTATAAATGATAGTTGGCATCGACTTATGCATATCATTTAATTTTTTATCATTCAGAATTTTTATGATTGTTTTATATATATCATTTTAAAAACTTAAGTCTTTTGAAATTCGGATCTAGAATTAAGTCTACCTTATGTAGTGGCTGCATAATAATCTTTTAAAAGAAATCTTGTTCTGTATTTTAAGGTTTTGATTTTTATTGTATCACGTTTAGAAGGTTAACAAAATTTTATTAATTTTTGTTTCCATAGAAAAACTTTATTTATTGTGGGACGAGAATGTGCTCTCAGATTATACGAGCATTCTTTAAATATTGATAAAAATTTATCTAACTCGCGTATGATACTGATATCAATTGTGGCTAATCTATTTAATTTTAGCTTGCTAAACAAGTACACCTGTATTTTAGAATATAATTTTAAGAAACTCTGTATCATGATATATACAGAGTTTCATCTCGTTATTCTCGCTATTACATCTTGTTTAAGGGTGTGGCTTAGTTTGATATTAGCTGTAGATTGTTTGAAATATTGTACTATTTTTTTATACCATTTATATTTAAAGCTATTTCAGTTAAACAATTGTCAAAAATATAATGCATAATATTATTTAGTATATGTCATATACATGCTAGCGTTTCGTCATCTTTGAATGCACTTATAAGATTTGCTCCGTTATCACTCACAATACATTTATTTATTTTCTACTTCTGTATATTCTTCTAAAATTGAATTGACTACACTTTTAATTTTGACGCTTTTTTCATCCATTGCCCTTGTGCCCAAAACAAATGTTTTTAATTAAAATCCTTAATGATAATATGTCCTATAATGGTTAAAAAACTTAGATTTTTATAGTCATCCGTCTAAATATCAGTGATTATGGACAATGATCATGCTTTTAATCTTAAATTTTATTTCATGGTATATTTTTGGACCTATAGTATTCATAAGAGTTTTCCGGTTCACAACTTTTATATTTTGTTATATGTAACACCAACATTTATCTCTTGGCCTAGCTTTAATCCTTCACTTTCTTTTGCATTTAAAGATTTAAGATCTTTACAAATAAAATATAACTGACTTTTCTGTAAAAAGTTTGAGCAAAATTTAGCATAAGGTCTCGCGATAAAAAACACCTAAACATAAAAAGAAAATAGGACTAACAAAATGATGCCGGATGTTGTATATAAAATGCGGAAGATTTTTAGTTTTCATAAATTATTCTTTTTAAAAAAAGAACTAAATTAAATAAGAAATTATATAATATAATTAAAAAATTGCAAATTTATAATTATAAAATTGCAAATTTATATTTATAAAAAAACAATTTTAAAAATTAAAATTTCCGTGATTCACGGGAAATTTATGTTCACGCCCGATCACGCACGGGGAAAATTTTAAAAAGGTCCGTCACGCCCAGTCACGCCTTGGAATTTAAAATTTATTCACACTCATGCCGTGACCCATTTCACGTCCCGCGCCCACCTCTAGTGTCTAGTTCCTCTAAATATAATCAAATATTTTTATTTTACATAAAAAGTTCAACATAAAATTGATAAATTTAGATATATTTAAAAAATTTTTATAAAAAATATTATGCCCGACCCAGCCCGAGCCCGATTTTTTGTAAAAAGATAGGCCCGACTGGCCGGGCCGGGTTTGGGCAGGTTCGGGTCAGGTACGGATCGGGTTCGGGCCGGGCCTACTTTTGCAGATTTCTAATTTGAATTATCCCAAATTGAGTAAAAACAACCATATATAAGATTAGAATAAGAAAGTGAATCAAGAGGAAATATTTATTGTATAAAATATAAAAAAATACCAAAAAAATATATTCTAAATTTATTTTAGTTTTAGCAAACTATCGTTCTATATAAATATACATAACATAATTATATTTGTTAATGTAATACATTTTTTTTACTTAAAAAAATTAATATATATTTAAAGAAATTTTAATAATGCGTTCATTTCATTTTATTTCCCTCCACTTTAAAAAATTTTCGTGGAATATTTATATTTTATAGAAAATCAACATCGGAAATCTTTATTTTTTGTCAATTAAAGTCGGAATTATGCAGTTATTATTTTTTTAAATTTCGTTTTTATTTCATTCTTACTTAGTTTGTTTTCATATCAACATTCTCTATTATTTCCTATTTTTATTTCATTTAATATTTCATTATGTTCTATTTTATTATTTCGAATATCATATTTTATTTTATAATTTGCGCTAATTCAAATATAAATGTTTTGCATAACAACTTTTCACTCTTGTATGTAATAATTCTTTTCGTTAATTCGTAACCTGGGGGTTCCTCTGAATATAAATTTTGATTTCAGAAACAATAATATCCGTTCATAATTTATTTCATTTTAATATAAATTATTTCAATTTAAATTTGACGGATAAATAATTTTATGAGCACATTAATAATCAATAATGTTTGATGTCACATATCATTACCTTAGAATTAAGCAACTGAATATCTATAAAATAAATAGAGCTAGAAAAATACCTTAAAATTAGTTAGACTCAAATATATATAATAACCTCAAAATTTAATCAAAATTATAATGATTTTAATATATCATCAATCTTTATTTTTCAAGCAAATATTTAAAATTACCATTGAATATTTACATATATATTTACGTATTAAAAATCATGTATCCATATTTGTACACATGTTTTAAAAATTTATCAATGATTTTGTACATAGTTGTAATAGCACTTATGATTATTCTATTCTTGTTAATTAAATTTTTTGATGATATACATAGAAAGCACCCTAAAACGATTGGATTTTTCCACCCTTATGCAAATGATGGTGGTGGTGGAGAAAGAGTATTATGGTATGCCATAAATTCACTACAAAAAAAGTAATTAAAAAAACATATTTTATTTTATAATTCTTTTTATTTAGATATCCGGATTATAAATGCATTGTATACACTGGAGATCGGGAATCATCTTTTTATATTTTGGATAAAGTTCAAAAAAATTTTGGTATCAACATTGATGCAAAAAATATTCATTTTGTGTTTTTAAAACTCAGGCCTTTGATTGAATCAAAATATTACCCATTTTTTACTCTTCTAGGTCAAAGTTTAGGATCATTAATATTAGGAATTGAAGCACGACTTAAATATTGTCCAACTATATTAATTGATACTGCAGGGTTTTCATATGCTTTACCAACTTTTAAGTATATGGGCTCTGATTATATTGGATGTTATGTTCATTATCCTACAATAAGTAATGATATGATTAAAAAAGTGCAACATAAGGAAATTCAATACAACAATTCTGGTAAATTTGAAATTTAAAAATTAATATTATAATGTCATTAGCCTTTATTTCCAAATATCATATTGTAAGTGTAACAAAATTATATTATTACAAATTATTTGCTAAATTATATGGAATTATGGGTAGAAATGCAGATTTTATTTTTGTAAATTCATCTTGGACAAATGACCATATTCTAAATCTTTGGAACAAACAAAATAAAACATATATACTATATCCACCATGTGATACTAAAACATTTAGCCAATTAAATAATACCAGTGAAAATTGGGTTTTAAATGACACAGAAATAAATATTGTTTCAATAGGTCAATTCAGACCTGAAAAGGATCATGTTAAGCAATTAAAATCATTTAAAGTAATTTTATTAAGTGTCTAGTCTACTCAAATATTATAAATAAATTTATAAATATAGCTCTTGCTCAAAAGGATAGAATCGGCAAAAATACATCAAAAATATACAATAAGATTATCTCTCGTAGGCAGTGCTAGGCATAAAGAGGACATTAGTAGAATTGAAAAGCTTAAAGAATTGTGCTCATCATTGAACATAACTCAAAATGTTGATTTTAAAATAAATCTAAATTTTGATGATCTCAAGCTTAATCTCTCAAAGGCCCTTATTGGAATTCACACAATGTGGAATGAACATTTTGGAATAGGTTTTTAAAAAAAGAGTTTTATATGCTAAAAATTATGCTACAACTTTTAAATAGTTTAATTTAATATTATTTTTTAAGCATTTTTAATTTTTATGAGCCGCTCATGAACTAATTTCATGGCCCTTTTAACCCAAATTTACTCATCTTATATTGCAAGAGCATAATATGTTTATTAATTTTTAAGAGAATAATTGGGTTTTAAGTTTTTATTTGGTAAGCATATGAAAAATAATTATATTCAAATCTATTCATATTGGCACACAACTATTTGATAATTTTTTACACAGGTTTTTGGCATAGGTGGCAAGAATGCACCTACCCGATTTTTCAAGCTTTTTTAAAATATTTCCATGCACTCGCTATATTTGATTTAAAAAATTATGCCTCATATTAAAGCCGCGCAATTTGTGTGAATACCAAGGTTAAAGTCAATTTTTCAGAAAGAATAACGTCAAAATCACGTCGTGAAATTAGATTTTGACAGTTTTTATAGCAATTGCTTATATATATATAAGAATTGTGGAGATTAGATTTTATAGTCCAATAAAAGGCGCCAAATGCCATATTTTTATTTTAAAATGCGCTCGAATTAAGATCAAAGTTGGTCCCAGATATCAACGCAACTTTTAGTGTTGTTAAACGGTAACTCAATATTTCATCCAGAAAAATATTACGCAAGCTTGAAGATTTTGCTCATACAATGGTCTAGATATATATTATCCAAATTTCTAAAGTTAGACAATATTTTTCTGGCTAAAAAATTGAGTTAGCCATTTTAAAAAAATATGCTCAAAACGAGCCGTTTAACAACACTAGCCCCTGGTTGAATTGTAATATGATATTTAAGATGGAACTTCATCATTCGAATAATGAATGTTGACAATACCAGGGCAATATTTTCGGTTGTGGCACGTGGGAAAGTATTGAATGAGATTAGCATATAAATATATCTAACTATTTATCACTAATTTTTGGTTTTTAGTGAGGTACTAGGAATTTCCCTTTTCTGAGTGTGCCAACTCATTGTCAAATTATAAGGATGGTATAACAAATGTTTTGCAAGCTTGATAGGTATAAATCATTTTTCCGTGGTTATATTGCTATTGGAACTATGGGCTAGCTTTCTTATTTCCTTGACAAAATATTTGTCGTGAGGTATTTTTACTTGTGTAAGTTCCCTTTCCCAGAGATAAGGAATAGGAATAGCATTGAGGTTGCTATATCTATCCAATTTAAAGGAATATACAAGCGAAAACCATAGCAGCCAGTAAAAGGCAAGAGGCTTCTCATCAACAATTAAATATGCCGAAGGAGTAAAATATCGATAACTGTTTATATTGTTTCTCCGAATGTGTTTCTTATTGCGACAGAACGATCGTTAAGATCTCTTTGATATTATATGAAAAGTTTGCTAAAATAAATAATAATCACTCACTGTTGGCAACCCGATCTATAAATACTATTATAATTTGGGTTTAAAAAGAAGGCGTATCGGTAAATGATTAATTCTCATACAGGCTGATAATAATATAAGCCCCAAATCTTAAAGTTCCAAGGTTTTATAGGTTGCATTTGTGTGAATTTTATATTAGGCTTCCATCCATTTATTCATATAATAGCCAAAATATGTTGGTGGAATCAAGTTTGCCTTACTATTCTCCCTTTGGACCTTGTTATAAAATGAATTATATTTCGACTAGATTTTTTTTCTTTCTGAAACAACGATTGACATCTTTCTGCCAAATATGACCATTTCTTGCCTTAGGCTTCCTTATAATAGACGGGGAAATATCATTATAAGTGTTGTTAAAAAGTCCGATTTGGGTCGATTTTTCAAAACGGCCCGACTAAGATTTTAACTAAAATAATATTATGAAAGCATCGAGATTTGGCAAATAGATGTCCCAACATTTCTGCCAGCTATGTGTAAAATCTCTAGGCTTACATAATGTTATTTTGATTATAATCTTAATCGGGTCGTTTTTTAAAATCGACCCAAATCGGGCCTTTTAACAACGCTAATCATTATTTTAATCTATTATTAATCATTCTCATTTATATCTGATTCCAAAAAATCTTCCGCTGAATCAGATTTGCCCTCTATTAAATTTCGTAAAATTATTAAATTATAAATTTTTTTTATGAAAAAAATAATTACATGCATCTAATAGACCTGGAAATTATTTTTTAATATAAAGTTTAGAAACTAAATTTTGACCATTTTTAATTAAAAAAAAACAAATAATACTTCTATTTTAAAAATTGTTCCAGAGTGGTGGAAAATTGTTGAAATACAGAACCATATCTCTCTAAAACACCAATGTAAAGTAAATTAGGATTATATAATCCACCCTAAATTTAATATAATACATTCTTGGCTTATAAGCCACTCTTGTATCAAAGTCAAGGGTAATTGGGATTCACTATCTACGACTTTTTTATCCAAATTTAGTTCGTCAAGGTTAGTTCTGCCCAAGATAGCTCTCGAGAAATGAGATATAAATTATTTCTCAAATGAAAAACATTTGTCCACTGGCTTTCGATTTATTGGTTGAATAATTTCACATTTCAATTTTTCTACATTTGGGGAATGCTATTTAGAGTTTTGTACGGGTTGTCTGAAACCCGATCCGGGGCTCGCATATTTAAGACTTTTTTCTTGAGCTCGGGTGGAGCTGTAAGAGGCATCCCGATCCGAGACCCGAAAATTATATATTAGAAATATCCTCAATAATCATTTTGTTTCATCGAAATGTCAATCAGAATCACATCATCTAAATTATTTCATTTATTCATTTAAATATAATAATGTGATTGTGATTTGTATTGACTAGTTAAAACTTCATTACTTACATGCAGCATATTCTATCTGGTTTTAAATAAAATATATTATATTTAAACTCTATTTTTTTTAGTCAGTTTTGGGTCTGGCTGGAAGAAAATATTTGTCCTCGGGCACTAAATTCTTTTAAATTCGGGCTCGGGTCATGAAAAAATCACTTTGCTGGACTCTCTAGTGCTATCACATCTACAAAACATGTTAATTGCGGACTTTTCCTCGCCTTAAAAGCCTACCATCCCCTGCATTGTGAATATTATTTAATTGCCATTTCGTTATACTTCTATTATGGAACCCTTTTATCTTTTTACCAATTGTGATAGAAGACCAGACGGTGATCCGCTAATCTTATTGTCAAATTTTCCTTTGGTATGGCACTTGGCCTTTCCGCGAAATCTAACATATCCATTACTAAGATCGAAATTCCAAAAAGAAATAAATATTCTGATTTGAAGAATATCCTGCTTATTCGCCCGCCTCTCCGTCCCTCCCAATTATTACTAAACTTAGATATTTTGAGCAATGATACCCTTTCCACTAATTAACATTTTAGGAAAAACATTTAAAGAAAAGGTAATCCCAATATTACCAGCCAACATGTATCTATTGAAGTCTGCAACTCGAATTACTTGGCTCCTGGAAGGTTGGGGGGGGGGGGTGATTTTTATTATAAAAATTATAGGTTCATTCATTTGTTGGATATATCTTTAAATGTTATATAAAATCATTTTAATTTGATAAATTAAATAATTAATTTTAATATTGTTCCATAATAGGCATTGTTGAATGTATGGCCGCTGGATTGATCATGATTGCCAACAATTCCGGGGGTCCTAAGTTGGATATTATGAAGCCATTTAAAGGTTTTTATTTAATCGATTTGAAGAGTTTTATTTTTAAATAATAATACAGGTAACCCCGTAGGGTTTTTGGCTGACACCGAAGAAACTTACGCCGATACCATGTTCGATATCATAAATATGTCAGCGGAAGAACGGAATTACATCAGGCACAATGCTAGAGAAGCGGTTGGTGCAAAATTTTCTAATGAAATTTTCGAAAAACATTTTCTACAAATAATTTCGCCCTATATAGAAACAAGAATTAATAAAGCTTTGTAAATCAAATGTATACAAATTCCTTGCTTTTTTCTATCTTATGTATTATTATATAATAGGGATGAATAATAATAAATATCTATTTTTCAGGGGAAAAAAATAAGTTTTCTTTTGGAGGGGAGAAAAAACAACAATGGTTTTTTAAAATAATTTTTAAAATATACGCCTGATCATTTCGCCGGAAACAGATCTTTAAAAAATATAAATTACATTAGTGGATTTGGGGAGTTCTACTTGACAATTCTGCGAAACTTTTATAACGAAATCGTTATCGAGAAGACAATATAGCGAAAACTATTTTGCGAAACATGTATCGATAGGTCAATATTCGTGATAATTTGCTAATAGTGACTATTTTATTTTGAAACATTTATTTTTATGATCATATTAATTGAATAATATATATTTTTTTTTTAAAATAGGTACAAGATTGATTAAATGATAGTTTTTAATTTTCTTTTAACCTTAATAAATTTATATAATGATTAATGAACTTAGATTTGGCTTATAAAATTTATTATAATGTAATTTTTTTGCTATCCTATCCTATGCTTTTCCTCAAACTCTTATTTTCTAAGAATCGCGTACAAGAAACTCAGGCTTTATTTATATATTTATCATTGAGTTCTTTAATTGGACTTTAATCCTTACTGGCGAAATTGATATCTGTGCGCCTATATAATATTTATAAATTTATCAATCAGTTTTGCCCAGTCACTAACCCAAAAAGTTATAAGCTAAATAAAAACTATAACATTACTCTTTGGAGTTAAACTGTTTTTATTGACATCTAAGTGAAATAAGAGATTTCCCCCTATTCAAATATTTTTGAATCTTATGATTTTACGATCTTTAGAAATATTCTTGATCTTTTCTGTTTATATTTTTTAAAAAATTTGATAGGAGTCTAAATCAATAGACCCAGTTTAAGCACGAAGTTTGTCAAACTTTGGCGAGCATTAATTCTGAAGTTTAAGTCAATGATGTACTTTTTTTCTTCTTTTTTTAAAAAAAAAAAATTGTCAATTAGTGGGTTAAAAAAAATTTAAAACAATAGGCGGGAGAGCTTCCTCTAGTATATAATAATATCATTATTAGAGATCTGCTGTAGACCAGCAAGAAAAATTGTATAATTTAAAAAATACAGGCTGGACCTGAATATATTTTTTTTTAAATTATAATGGTCCGTGCCAATTTAAAAAAAAATCAATCTAAATTATATCAATTAATCAGTCGGAAAATCGTATATATAATGGATAGTGTTGCAAAACTGCTAACTCAAAAAACGAAAATCGGTTTAAATCGAGCATTTTAACAGCACTAATGACGTTTAATATTCATTTATTGCTTCAATAACTCTTCGAAACAATTTGCCAATATTGAAAACAAGAATTCGGACCGGGCCTAAATTTTAAAAGAGAAAATCCGAGCTTAAAAATGAAAATTTTTTAAAATGCCTAAATATTTATAATAATTGAAATATGAAATGCCTATTTTTATTTAAAAGTATATATTATAATTATTTTCAAATTATTTTTTAAGATAATGCCCAACTGTAGGGTAGACCAAGTCGGCATTAATTTTGTCAAAATCATCATAGCTAGAAAATAATGATAGTATAAGATTTTGCAAAATACCAATCGATATTTTAAACGCTTAGCTATAAATATACACAGCTATATTTTTTAAATATATAATAATTTTTTCTTTAAAAAAAGGTTTAGTAGAAGTGATTAGTCGGATTATAGATGGGGCTAGTCGAATCAAATGGTTTATTAGGCTTCCTATGAGACACAAAATATTTTCTTCAGATTTTTATATATGCGTTATTTATATAATATTATTTACAATTACAATTATAACAAATAACAAATAAAATAGCAATCTTTTTTGGCACAGGACACATGCGCATAACCTTTACATACTCTGCATTGAAACCAATATTCAAAATTATAAAATTTTATAGTCCTGATTACATATAATTAGGGCTGTGCCGATATTAAATATCGGATCGGTACCGATATTTCGCGTTTTCCAAAAATATCGGATCGGGCCGATACCTGTAAAGAACCGATCCGATCCAATTTATTTACTTTTCTATTTTTTGTTATTTTATTTTATGTATATTTATTTTACATTATTAAATTATTTTCTAAATAATTTTTATATTTTATTTCTTTTTTAAAATAGATTTATAATATTTTAAAAGTTTTTTTTTTATAAAAATAGAAAGGAACACCCAAAGTTTTATTTATTTTAAATCTTTTTAATTAACGCCTATTTTCTTATTTATACTTTAAATAAAAGAATTTTTTAAACATGGTATCCTGAAATATGGAAATAATTTACAAAAGACAAAGATAATTTTGCAAAATGCGTTATCTGCGGAATCATCTGAGTCTGCCTTCAGTACGGCAGGAGATATAGATAGTTCATATCGTAGAAGCTTATTCCCAGAAAATCTGGAGGCTCTCATATTTATTAAAAAATCTAATATATTATAATTTTTATTAAATATTACAATTTTATAATTCATACCAACCTAAAATGGATATATTATTAAATATATATTTTTTTTATTATAGTCTTAATTGTAGAAATAAAAATATTAAATTAAATTCATGATTCGATTTTTTGCATAAAAAATATTGATTTTAATTACATTTGGTAAAAACGGGGGTGATTAAAAATCAATATAAATATCGGATCGGTTTTGAAGCAATATCGGAAAATATCGGATCGGTGAAAAATATGTGGATCGGCACAGCCCTACATATAATACAAACATCTTTTATTAATATTTTAAAATGTGTTTTTTTAATTTTTATTCTAATGTTTTAATAGAAGCCACTTCTTGAATGGGGATGAGGTAAAAATCTCAGCAATAATTTTTTAATACCTTTTTAACAGTTAAACCATAAAAAGTTTTGTTCCATGAAATTAGATATTCAACCATTTTATTTTCTTCCGCATCAAATATTATTTGTTTATTATCTTGACCTATCTTGGGTAAAGTGCCAGCCATTTTATATTTTTTATAATGTCTTAAAATTGTGTTAGGTGTGTACTTAATAAAATAAATAATAAATTAACTCAAAATTTATATAATTAAATATATAACGTTTATTGGATCTTTTATTAACAGGCCAAAATAAATATCCTGATGACAAAAATGTTCATATATCTTTAAATGTACTAATTTGAATCATATAGATTGTCAAGTCAATTACGATATATATACTATATGAAAATCTTTATTTGCTAGATATAATTCATTTTAAATAATTTATCTTATTATCAGGCTAATATTTATATATGGTATATTTAGGTTCATATATGATTGATAAAAATAATTATAAATTGAATTTAATCAAATAATATATCAATCCCAATATATATATATATATGAGGATTTTAGTTTGCAAGATATTTATTTAGGTCTGATATTAAAATCGAAATGTATTATGAAAAATTACATTGATAAATTTATATAATAATTATCATTTAATATATTAAATTTATAAAATACTATATTTTAACCTGTAAAAGATGTTACTTTTCTTGATGATATATCATTTTCATACAATTTTATTGCTTCTTTATAATCCTTCATAGTGGAAATTTATCCGCTGAACCGACAAACCCCTTGCCCCGACTAACCCTGGTCTCCCCTAAGAATATTATATTTTTATAAATAATCAAAAAGTTCTTCAAAGAGGACCTAAAAATATCCTGATTTTTGGTATAAAAATATAACCCCAATGATTCCCCCTTTCCGTAAGAAAATCTTGGATACGCCAGTGATGACAATAGTTGGGTAATTACTATATTTTAAGCCGTATACGTAATTATTTAGTCGGTCAAAATATCGGAAAAATCAAATTTTTAGTCGAAAACTATCACTTTGGCCTCGGATTTTTTCTTAAAAATATAGAACTTCAAACTTGAAAAAAAACACACTATTAATTAAAACGCCTGAATGTTGACATTTTCTCCGGCTCGCGCCTGTAGATTAATTGGCCGACATTTATCCATTATCTAATTATAATAAAAACATAGAACCCTATATTATACTAGTAATATTAATGCCGTTATTGATTCTGGGTACGTGCTGATGAAAATATCAGATTGGCTAATTTTTTAAAAAACCGGATGTGCTATCAATTTTTAGATTGGGTTTTTGTAAATTGGTTTATATTAAAATCGCTTTAAATTAAATATTATAAACAATTACTAATTTGGTAAAAACCTTTGACAAAGAACATCTTTTTACGATAAAGCCTAAAAATCATTTTTTTAGTCAATTTATATATTTTTTAAAAATAGTATATATTAAAAAAGGCGTTATATTACATGACTTATATAATCACGAGGAAAATTTTTTTAAAAAAAAAAGAACTCATGCCCCAGAGTAATTTATTTTAAGAAACTATTTGTATTACCAACAGGCTTGGAGAGCAAGTGACACTTGACCATTATTACAGGAACTTATGAAATTCCCGAATATTTATCAACAAATAATTATTGCGATGTATTTGATGATTTTCAAATTTTGATTTCATAAATAATATATTTTGATTTATATAAAATATATATGCACTATATAACCAATAGGTCGTGTTCATTTATTTTAAAAAGGGTTTGTTCGAAAATGGCGTTATTTCAGCCGATATGTCACGGAATTGCCCAAATAACAAGAGCTACAATAAATTTAACAAAGGCAACATATGCTACATATTTGGAATAAAAAAAACGTAAATGAGATGCTAAATAATTTTTTTGAATAACATTTATTAAGTATGTAAATGAGTTCTAAACATTTAAAACTTATATGGATATTATAAAATTTAAATGATAGTAAATAATGCAAAAGGTATATATAATAAACAATGAGATTGGAATTTATTTTTCACAGATAACTATTCATTTATCATCGGTTTATTACATTTGTATAGGCCCTGTAAAATATTGGAGAATAAAGACTACATGCTATCCACATTAGCTCCTTGTGGAACTGATTAAATTCCCAGTCGAGAGTGAAATCGGAATCATAAAGTTCTGACGGCGATGTGGTAGTAAAATAAAGAGGGCTGTAAGGAATAAGGAAGGACTGAACATAGGGGGACACTAAAAGGCCTTGATTGATTTATCAGTAGTGTATAACTGACGCCGTTGAGGGTTATGTTACTTGGTGAATATTGAAGACTCATTCTAGAATAGATGTACAAACTACTAGGGCTGTATTTTGAATTTAAAGACTTGCTGGGCTGCATTTGGGACTGGCTTGGCTGTATTTTGGAGAAGGTGTAGGGGCAGTATTGTGTAGATTCTGCCGTTGTTGCAAAGTCAGACAAGCTTGGAAAAAGTTCAAAGATGTCGTCTATTCTTACAAGTAAAAAAGTATCTCTGAAGTTAAAGGGGAAAGTTTACGTAAGCTGGGTGAGGAATTGTTTAGATGGCGGCGAAACATGGCCAATTAAAGCGACTCACGAATCCAGATTAGAAAGAACAGAGATGAGGATGATTAGACGGATGTGGGGTATCTCTGAGAGAAAAACTAGCAAAGAATTGCGAGCAAGATTGGGTATAGAAATGATTGGAGTGGTAATGCGACGAAATAGACTAAGATGGTTTGGGCATCTGGAAAGTATGACAAAAGATGACTGGGTAAAGAGATGCACGTTCATGGAAGTAGGAGGATCAAGACCAAGAGGAAGGCCCAAGATAACGTGGACAAATGTGATAGCGGCGGGTATGAGAAGCATGAATCTTACAAATATTGATGCTCAGGACCGTCAAAAATGGAAAAGAAAAATCAGAGGGAAAACTGGCCAACCCGGGTAAACCTGGAAATCACCATAAAACGGGAAAGAATTAAAATATGTCCAATTTTAAATTTAAGTATCCGGAATGCAGGCTCGACTCAAGAAATGGTATGATTTAAATAATCTGGATGAGGCTAAAACTTTTAAAATAAAATCACATAAGAGAGCGTTTAATAATTATCGTGACATTAGATCAGTTGTGAAAATATAAAACCAAGGGCGGATCTTAAATAATTTCATTTTAAATATTAGGGGGGCATATTCTATTTTTCTTAAACTTTTATAGCTAATAATGGCCATTTAAAATATTTGGTCCAGGCCAGGTATTTTAAAAAAAATTTTTTAGGCCAGGCCCACTGATATTTATTTGCTACTCATATTATCAATTTCCTTTACAATTATACCCAAAACAGCCAATTATTCAAAATTAGATAATTTTAAGAATTCCAGGCCAAAAAAATTATCAAAATAAAAATCCTGGGCTGGGCCAGGTAATAAATTTTTTTTAACAAGCTTGAAATTTCGACCTTTTGCGGGTTCTCTGATAACTGTAAATAACATATTTTTTAAAAGATCTGAAGGAAGTCAGATTCTTGATTTTAAATGAACATTTTAAAAAAAATTTCGTAATCTAATCATGCTACAATAAATTAATCAAGGTAAAATATTATTCCACAGATTTGGAATAAAAGAAAATTAAAATAATTTTATTAAATATATATTTATTAAGTATGTTATGGAATTGAGTTCTAAACATAAAATAACAATTTAAAATGTATTATGAAATATGAATATTATAAAATTCTAATTATGTTGATAAATAATGCAAAATAATATAATGTTGTAAATATAAATTTATATAATAAAATTCATTGCCGAGTTAGAAATTTTAATCACATCATTCATCATCAGGAGTGGTTGTGGTGCTGTAAAGCATTGGCGATGAAGGACTGTACATGCTATCCATATTAGCGCCTGCAGGGGTGCTTAAATTCGCAGGCGAAGGTGAAACCGGAGATGGGTCATAAAGTTCTGCCGGCGACGATGGACTGTAAGTAGTAGGGCTATAACCAGGGCTAGAAGGGCTGTAAGGAGGGGAGGAAGGACTGTAACCTAAGGGGACATTAGAAGGCCCTGGTTGATTAGATAAGGGCGTATAACTGGGGCCGCTGGAAAGGGTAGGGCTACTTGGAGAATATTGAAGACTCGGGCTAGAAGGGCTGTACTTAGGAGTACTTGGGGTATAATTAGGACTACTAGGGCTGTATTTTGGACTGGAAGGACTTTCTGGGCTATATTTGGGACTAGCTGGGCTATAATTTGGACTGGCTGGACTATAATTGGGACTGGCTGGGCTATAATTGGGACTGGCTGGGCTATATTTGGGACTATCTGGGCTGTATTTGGGACTTGCCGGACTGTAATTGGGACTTGATGGGCTGTATTTAGGAGTCGTGGGGCTGTATTTAGGGCTAGTTGGAGTATATTTGGGACTACTAGGACTATATTTGGGACTACTGGGGCTATATTTAGGACTACTGGGGCTATATTTAGGACTACTAGGGCTATATTTAGGACTACTTGGGCTGTATTTGGGACTACTCGGGCTGTATTTGGGACTACTCGGGCTGTATTTGGGGCTACTAGGGCTATAATTTGGACTGGAGGGACTGTAATTGGGACTGGAAGGACTATAATTAGGGCTAGACGGGCTGTAATTCGGACTGGAGGGACTGTATTTCGGGCTGGAAGGACTATACTTTGGGCTGGAGGGTGAATATTTAGGACTACTAGGGCTGTAATTAAGGCTCATAGGTGAATATTGTGGAGGACTACTGGGGCTGTAATTGGAGTCATGAGGCAGGGAAGGGCTATATTTTGGCGAAGAGGGCGAGTATGTCGGCCCTCCCGCAGAGCCAGAACCCGAAGAACGGCCAGGGGTAGCAGGACTGTAGGGAGAGGAGGGCGAATACCGTGGACTGGAGAGATTATATCCAGGGCTACTGGGTGAATATTTTGGCGAAGCCGGAGTCCCCGAGTCTGAGGATTGCATATAAGGAGATGACGGGCCAGCCCCACTCCCAGGAGATAACCCTGGGCTAGTGGGAGTATAACTAGGACTACTGGGGCTGTAAGCGGGTGAGGAAGGGCTATATTTGGGGGAGATAGAAGAACCAACACGGGGAGAATAAGGGCTATAATTTGGAGAAGTTGGGGAGGGCGCTATAGCCGGAGAAGATGGAGAATAATAAGCGCCTGCAGGACTTGCTGGACTGGAGGAATAAGGGCTAGCAGGGCCAGGCGACATGCCACCAGACCCACCAATACCACCTGGTGAGTGAGGTTGAGGCGACCAGGCTGGGCTATATCTGTTAAATGTACAAAACGATTTTAAAAAAATTACAAATGGGTTCTAATCAACGTGCCTCTTGAATTTAATATCAAATCAACTGGATCCCCTCAGATGTTTTTTAAATTTTGCATAATAGTATAAAGAATATATATAACCCAGAGGGAAAACATACTTACTAACTTTGTTTATAAATTATTATTGTATAAATTTGACATAAAATTTAATCTAGCAAAAATCAGTTTAACCAAGACCCAATGACTTCTAAGAAAGAAATTTATGTTAAAATTTAAATTTTTTTAAAGCGTCATAACTCATAAAGCAATATCCGACCCAATCATATCTTTTTTCTACCACCATTTCCGTCCGGTTTTGGTAATAAAATTTTTCACTATTATTCAATTTTATGAATTTAAATCATTGATCTAACTTTTAGGACCAATATATCTCAGAAGTAATCTAAGATGTGGGGTAATTTTTTAGTTTCTTTTTTAAATTAGTTTATTAATACCATAATTATACAAAATTTAAAAAAAATCTTAGGCGGCCAAGTTGAAAATCAATTTTTTTTGGCTAATTCACATAATCCCATTAACATCATATATACAATAAAATCAGATTATGGTTATAAATATTGATTTTTTAAAAATATTTCAAAGACCAAACATTACAAATTAAAATAAATAAAATAAGATGGAACTATAAATGATATATAAAAAAGAAGTGTATACACAGGACTGAATCCACTTATTTCGCTACCAGCGGAAGGCGAGAAAACGGCAGAACCGGGCGTCATTGTTGAAATAGAAGGAGAATAATTTTCCGAGCCGTATGGAGTGGATTTTCCCCAGGCGTCTGGGGTTAAATTTCCCATACCTGAAGGGCTCATTCCTGAGGTGGAACCGAAAAAGTGGCGGTTCATGCCTAATTTAAAAACAAATAAAGATTGGTTAGTTTTTTTATAAAATTATCTACCATAAAATTTAAAATCAGAAATATTTTGGATAGAAAAAATGGCTCTTAGAGTTTAGAAAATTTAATTTTAATTTTAATTAAGATGATATTTAGAATCTCTATTTTATTTTATGAACAACTCGTTTAATAATATATTATGATGCTTTAAGCACTGGCATAAATCCAGTGAATTACAAATAACAAACATAAGAATTAAAAATGAAATATAGTGCAAAAAACCAATTTAATTTAAATTACCGGGAACCAGCATGCTTTCCTCTATGTTGAGAGGTATTTCCATGCCCAGTTTGCAACGTTCAGCGTCCAAAAGCAATTCAAAGGATCCCGTACCTATGGGGGCAAGTTGACCGAACATTATGTTTTCAGAAACGCCTAACATGGGGTCATTTTCAGCATGTGCTGCTGCATCCGTTAAAATATCGACCTGTGAATATAAACATTTTTATGAGTTATATTAAGGTTATTCGAATAATGATATTTTATGAAATTTAAAAAAAAGTATATTCTAAAAACAAAAATTTGTATAATAGGCACAAGCTATATATGCAGATAAAATCGGATATAATTTACTAACAAACTATAGCTCGTAATAAGTTTTCATTCTTTCCAAATCATTCTTTTACCGTTTCTTCAAAAGAACATCTCATAAGTGCGCCCGTATCTTGCCTATTGATTCCGTGCCTAGTTATGGCCATCAAGTGACCCTTGGCGGTCATGATATCGCAGAGGAGGGACAAATGTCTGTAATTTACATAGGAACCGTCAAAGGAAATAACCGTATTTATCTCTTTTTCCAGCGATTTACGCACAGCTTCAATTCCCAACACCTAATTCATGTAAATAAATAATAAATATTTGATTTTCTCAAAAAAATTTACTTGCTATTTTTTTAAGTGCATTTAGCTTGAGTATTTTTTATATTTACCTCTTAAAAACTTTAAAAAAACTCGACATAATAGGTAATAAACAAAAGGTGATAGGTGGGTGGAGTAATGATTTTTCCTTAAAGGTATATCCACGAGAGTATCGACTGAGTGCTATTAAAATTAATCATCACTCTAAGTCATGGGGGGGGGGGTACAACTTTTTTAAGCTATCTCGACAGTGGTATTAAATGTAGACTAATAAAACGCCTTTTTAATCTGAGTTTTTCATTCTTATATTTGACTATTTTTTTCTGGGAAATTCGGTTTTTTTACCTGAGAATTAAGAAATAATTCTGAGCATTGAGTTATTTTTTAAAAACGATTAGTAAATTTTTTATTCTAAGAAATTTAGTATTAGAATGTAAATGACAAAACTAAAAACTATATAATTCTAATAACTTAAACGAAAATATTATGAGCATATAAATGTGCCGACTAAATACTAAACCGAAAATATTTCGCAAATATCGTTAGATGTTGTTCTGACAGGGTCAACGTCCTTCTCACTCAAAACCTTCATAAGACTGGTACCATCCGTCTCCAAAATCCATTCGGATATCGCCTTGAATTCGCCCTCGTTAGTGAGGATTATGCGTTTTTTATTGTCTTGCGTGGGTAGATGCATGTATACCTTAAAAAAATTTACATATAATTTGCGACTAATTATAATTTCTTGTTTGAAAGAAAAAACTTTTTTTAAAAAACAATATAAATTTTCAATAATTTTAAGCTATATTTTGTCAGTCCTATAGTTTATTTATTGTCAAGTTCCAAAATTAAATCAATGCTATTGATATAAAAGTTTTTGGTAGGAGTGGGGAGGGAAAAAAAATTATTATATATTTTGAGCATTAATTTGTTTAATGACAAACAATCTATGGGAAGTATGTTTTTATTTTAGTCGCCAAAATAATAGAAAATTTAATCAAAAATTGCTCTACATTTTATTAAAGTTAATTTTTCAAATAAAAATAATCAAAAAATTTCATAATATAATGTAGATTGATTTTGAAAAAAAATTTGTCTTCCTTTAATAATTTCATGTGGTGAATTCAATACCTTCGAAATCTGTTCGATCCCCTGGAGGGTCATATCGCTCAGCATATTAGACTCTATGCAACGCAAAAATACGTCGTCGTCCATCCTATCAACTGCCGCGGCGGAATTCGCGTTATTTGGATTTTCGATATCTTCAGCATCATCACCAAATTTCTCGCCATCCGCGTTTCGATCTGGGTAAAGATTGTTGATTATATTTAAATTTCAATAGCGCATATCTAAATCAAGAATTTCGCTAATGGAGTTCATTATTTAAACAAAACTATTTTAAATGACAGATACCCCTTATATTTAATTTTAAATATTAATAATACTTTATTCCATTCTAAATCCAATTTTCATGAAAAATTTATTCTACTTTCAATGTAACTTAGCCAATCAAAGCAACTCACGAGTTTTCTATTTTTCACTTTGTTTTTAATATATGTATATATAAAGAGAAAGCAATCCATAATTACTGGAAACGTTTCCCATGCCACCCCCTCCCTCAGTGGCCGCTATTCGTATCCTGAGTACTAGCCTCTCGGAGTTATCGTCGTTGAATATGCAATTCAAATCGTCACCAAACCCGGCATTTATTTTTTCACTGATGGCTTCCATGGTGAGTTTCCTGTCCGTCATACGGCGGCGATCGAGTTCGATACGCAACAACCAAGGGGACATACGGGCCGGGTCAAAATCAGGCATTTCATAATAAACTGATACGAATTCTCTATCTTCGGGTATCACGGTGTTAACCGGGTCAGGGTCATAGTAGATGGCGGTATTGGCGGTTACCTATAGGAGATTATAAATTAGGAATATATCGCTTTTAAACTATGAAATAAAAGCAAATTAACTATAAAATAAATATTTGAATTGCTTGATTCTTTAGTTTCACAACGTGAATATATTTTTTTTTTCATTTAAAAAAAACTATGGTTAATCAAATATAACTAACGGCTAAAACCATCAGTGGGCTTTATCTAGTTGTGTCTTTAATTATCTACTTTTAATATTCTCATTTATTAGTCACGCCAATGATTATTTGATAAATATTTTTAAAAAATAGAAAAAAAAGCCACATTTTAATCTTAGAAATCGCTCACAATATTTCCACCAATGCAAAATTGGAAAATCTTTCACAACTAGATGTTCACATAGAATTAAAATTTTTATATTAATCAACCTCTCTTTTGTCTTGGATTCAATAGAGATCCTTTATGGTAATTTTATGAATAAAAATTTTTAAAAAAAAATATATTTCGATTTCATATTTAATTCTGAGCTCAGTGATATTCATGTTCATAAAACAATTAACTTTATAACCCATTCAAGAAAAAGAAATTCTATTATGAATCCTTATTTAATTGTGATTTTCATAATGCAACTAGATATCTAAATTTAAATTTTGCTTTGAAGAAAAAAATATAAATCTTATAAAATATATTCATTTTTAAAAAATTTTAAAACTATGATTATTTGATATAATTTACAATTTACAGTTACATATCCTTTCAAATTATATTCCCTTTCAACTATTTTTAAATATTTCAAATAACTTGAACTTGGCTGTAATAATATTAAAACATATAAACAAAAGAACATAAAACATTTTAATTTATTTTAAATATAAAAAGATTTTTTAAAAAAATATCAGCCAAAGCCATTTAAAATGAACGTCCATTAGACGTGTTTATTCATGTTGTTTCCCCATCTATAAAATAAATAGACTAAGGATGTAAGAGCCTAAACAGATCAGGGTTTGAATGTTTTGAAACAAATATCATTTAATAAATATATATAATTATAAATGTTGATAACACTAAAGAATTATTTAAGTTACCTAAGCAGATATTATAATAGCAAGTATTGTTTAAATTTTATCCTTCATCTCTTACTCCATTAGTTCAAAAAAATATATTAATTTATTTCAAAAATCCAAAATGCAGGTACTCACCTTTCTAAGGGTGGTATGTTCCAGCCTGCATAGTACATCCTTTGCTCTCTCCGCATCACGAGCAGCCCTCCCTTTTAAAAACACGGTTAACGAAGGAGTTCTAGGCCTACGGGATACGTTTATGATCTCCTTAAGCCTAAGGTTATTTAGGTGTAAATGTGTTTATTTTCATGGTTTAAGTTTAAAAAGACTTGCATATAAAATAGCTCACTCAAATATATAATAAATGAGCCACCCAAATTCTGTACTTTTCATTTTTTTATAACTAATTTCAACTCAAAATTATTAAAAAAAGTTTAGTACATCTATAATAATTATGATTACCTGGGAACCCCGAGTGTAACGTTCTTGGCTGAAACTCCAGCATAATGGAAAGTATTGAGGGTCATTTGAGTGGCGGGCTCACCTAGAGACTGAGCGGCCAGGGGCCCCACCATCTCACCAGGATCAACCAAAGCCCGACCAAATCTGGCCTCGAGTTCACCTAAACACCAATCGAAAGCCGAGGTGGAGAGCCTCCACTCCTCTGTCACACGTCTGGCGGTTAGAGTGGAACGGAGCAGGGCGGAGATCAGGAAGGTAGCATCTGACTGAGCTCGCAAACTGAGGGGGTCCGAACCTTTCACTACAGTCAGGCGTGCGCTTAGATCTCGAACGCCTTGAATTACCTGTGTAGATGTAAAAAATGGCCGATAAATTAGATAGAAATGATGTCGTAAACAAAAGAAACTGTTTTGTTTGAGAATGACTTGGAAAAAATACTTAAAGATTATAAGAGAGATGGCGAAATTATCAGCCGATCAATCATTTATTGGAAATGAAATAATTTATTGGTAAAGAATTTTTGAATATAACAGATAGAGATCTGCAAAGTTAGGCCCGGCCCGTACCCAGCCCGAACGGGCTTTGGGCCAGGCTCGGGTCTAATTCTATTTAAAATAATCGGGTTTGGGTCGGGCCTAATATTTTTTAAAAAAATTGGGGCCGAGTTGGGTCGTATTTTGGAATTTTTTTTAAATATATCTAAATTTATCAATTTTATATTGAATTTTTTATGTAAAATAAAAGTATTTGATTTTATTTATTAAAACTAAATGACATATAACATATGTCTTTTATTTTGTGTAATTATAAAAATTAATTTCTTTATTTAAATAAATTAGGGCCAGGCCGGTAAATTTTTTTAAAAAAAATTTCGGGTTCGGGCTGTCAAATTTGGGCCAGGTTGGCAAAACTTTTTTAAAAAAATTTCGGGCCAGGCCAGGCTTGAAAAATTAGGCCCGATGCAGATCACTAATAACAGATATGTAATAAATAGTTAAAACATTTAATCAATTTTTTCAAAACTTTAAGTGGATGCAAGTCAGATGGAATTCGTGGGTTAATCCTAAAAATCTTTTGGGCATTCCATATAATCCTCTGAAGGTTGCATGGGAGTACTACTTTGCTATCCCCCGTAGGAAATATCTGCCTTAACATTGCCTGATCCTCCTTGAGTTGATCCCATTCCTTTTCTAACTCGGTGAGACAATGGGTATTTCCGACCAAGTCCTTGACTATGTCTTCATTAAGGTAACGGCGGAGGTATCTTACATTTTGCATATAATTAAATCATTGCTTGTTAAAAAATATTAAAACTAAAGGGCATAAAAAATATAAACTTAAAACTAATTATAAAATCTTTAAAAAAATATTTATTTTTAAGATTAATTTAAAACCTTTCATTGAGGGAGGTATCGAACTTGAAACGACGTTCTAAAGCCTTGTCAGATGGTTTAAGTGTAGGTAAATTTTGAAATTCCAAATGAACCGCGTCTAATCCGTCTTCCCCATAGAGCAATTGAACCATTTGGTCAGAACTGTTTCGAATAGTTCCATCATAACGCACCTAGCAAACGAATCGTCAATTAAATATTTTACAATAATTCGTTATCTAAATTTTTAATTTCACATAAAAATGCGTTTAATATAAATGTAAACTAAATCTTTCGGGATTAACGTTTTAGCACTAGATCTGGACAGAACAAGGCTAATTCTTAGTTATAAAATAAATTATTTGAACTAAAAAAAATAACACTAACCATGACTGACTCCATAGCCTTGATCAATCGCCTTTGTATATAACCAGTTTCGGCCGTTTTAACGGCCGTATCTATCAAACCCTCACGACCTCCCATGGCGTGAAAGAAGAATTCGGAGGGCGTAAGACCAGCCAGGTAAGAATTTTCGACAAAGCCTCGGCTTTCGGGACCAAAGTCGTCCTTGATAAAATGGGGCAGGGTTCGATGACGAAAGCCAAAAGGAATTCGCTTGCCCTCGACGTTTTGCTGTCCCACGCATGCTATTACCTATACATTAATTAAAAGTATTGAATGTAACTTATAAAAACAAGGTATAAAAAACTAATAAATTGATACCTATATGGCAATGGCAAGATAAGTGAATGTTTAATCGAAAAAGTAATATCCAGGATAGTTAAAATTCGTGGGTGATTAAACAAAAGATTAAGTAATTTTTGATGAATTATAATAGTAATCATATTAAATTTAATATTATGTTAAAAAGGATAAACAAAAATGTTATTTACAAACTTGTGATATATTAATTTTGGATCCCTTAGAACCTGCAACAACCATAGCCTTAAAGTTATTGAATTCTGACAGAGAACGTTGAGCACTACTACCAGTTTTGTCTCGAGCGTCATTCAATATGCGATTAACCTTTGTTTTAAAAAAATAGAAAAAAAAATATACAAAATTGCAAATATTTTTTTTTATTATAATTTTACCTGTTAATTTAAACTCAAGATTTTTTGCTAGAGTAAAATCCAATTTAACATTCCCTATTTAATGTTTTCTGATTTACACCGTTTTAAAAATTATCATTATGACCCTAAATAAGAGATTTTTTCATTCAAAAATTAAATACGTAAGTAACAAATGTAGCAGCATATCTTCAATTTCTTATTGTACAAACCCCACCCATCAGTTCAACAAACACATTTTTAATATTAATTTAGGTTAGTTAGTGTTGCTAAATGTCCAATATTTTTGCCAATAAAATTACACAAGCTTAGAGATTTCGTTAATAGATGTCCACCCCATTCTGCTATCTATGAACAAAATCTCCAAGCTTAATTTTTGGCTAAAATATGGGGTTAGCCTTTTATAAAAATCGAGTCATTTAACAACACTAAGAGTAGTGTTATTAAAGGGCTCGATTTTCTTGAGATTTCACTAATAGATGTCTAAACTTTTGTGCCATCTATGAGCGAAATCTTGCGGCTTGCACAATATTTTTCTGAATAAAATATTGAGCAAAGCTATTTTCTTTCATACTATAAGGAGTTAAATAAAATAAAGTTAAAAGGAAACCTGATTTTCGAAAGTTTGTCGCAAGGTATTTCCAGGTGTGGGTTCAAGCTCGTCATTGTGGGCCTTCTCGATAACCTCTATGACGTCCTGTTTGGCCTTTTTAATGGTATTTTGAATTTCCACGTAGGTTTGAGGGTCTGCAATGGAATCGCCTATTCCTGTTGTTTGATGCATGCATTTTATCAGTGTTTAGATAAAATTTATATTATATATATGATAAAACAAGCAAAATTGGCCTTTGAGATATATATACATTTGATTTGTGTTCAATATACTTTGAAACTCATCTAAAGACCTTATTACTTTCATAAATGTATTTTTTTTTATTACAAGTCATTGTTTATTATTAATTTTTGTGAATATTATTTTTTTGGCAACATTTTTTTTTCTAATTATAAAAACCCCAAAAAAAGAAAATAATCACTATTAATTTCTTCATCTTTGTTTCAAATTATTGTTGTTCAAAAAGTAAGATATATATATATTAAATAAAACGCTGGAAATTTACGTGTTATAAAAGAAATAAAAACGAGACTATTATTATTTCAATTGTGAAAATTACTAATTAGTTTGAGTAGCATTTATGCTCCTAAAATTAACTTTCATTCTTTTTAAAATTAGGAAAAGAAGCTCTGAGATTCAAATCTCAGGTCAATAAATTGTTTTAGCCTAATAATTTTAAAAAATCATCATGGCACTATTCAGCTTCTTTGGGGTTAAAGCTCGTCAAAATTTTAAACCTATGGAGTGGCCTTCTATCATAAGCCAATTATTGACGACGGTTTGAATGTTCCCGTAAAAATCCCCGGCTATTTTGTGGCCCAATTCCAATGCAACGATATGAACCAAAGAGCCGCTTGAAGTCCCAAGAGTCTTTTTGCAAAGGATGCCTGCTATGAGCTGCCCATTTTCGATGAGAACCTTTAAATATAAATGAGGCATGTGTTCGATATTATTTTTAACAGAAATTGTATAAAAAGTAATTAACAATTTTATAAGTCAAATAGCATGCTTTGGAAGATTTGTAGGTTGAAAATTGACAAAAATTAACCTTGGTATCTCCAGGCGAAATCCATTTATAAGGTCCACTATCTTCCTCGTCCGGGTGTGTGCTATGGGTACGGACACAATTCACATTACCGGGAATAACTAATGAGAAGAGCTGTTTGCCAGTCCACAGCGGTTTTGGCTTTATGATAGCTGGTTGCGGAATTTTGCCATTCCAACTGGGCAGCCACATAAGGAGGTTCATCATTTGTTCCTATTTCGATAATAATTTTATATGCAAATAGAAAACAATAAAATATATAAAATTTTATAATTAAGAAGTATTATATAGGTTTCTAAAAAATTATATTATAACAATCGAGAAAAAATTGTATACAATTTACACAATGACAAACAAACCTTGTCCAATAAGACATCCCTCTTGGTCATTTTCCGGACGGCTGTGAGCGTATCTTGCACTATACCCATGACTGGTCGATTAGCTTGTGGAGTTATCATTTGCCGTTGTACCATCATGAGTTCAGTTATCTCTGCCCGTGTTTCAAGGGATTGAGGAACGTGCAAATTCATTTCATCCCCATCAAAATCGGCGTTATATGGGGTGGTAACACTATTAGTGAAAAATTTTATAATATGATTCATGAAATATCATAATAATGTTTTTGATTACTAAAAAAATTAATTAACAAATTAAGATATCATATGGGGGTTAAGATAATATTAATGATCATTTGTTTGGAGTTAAAGTAGATGACCCTTGTTAAATATTTAATGAATTTTAACTTAGTGCCATTTCATAACAAAACATTTATAGCTCGTAAAAATGGATACCTGAGATTCAATCTAAAAGTAGACCATGGTAGAATTTTGATCCTGTGCCCCATCATAGACATTTTGTGAAGAGTAGGCTGTCTGTTAAACACAATGACATCGTCGTCTCTTATATGTCGTTCCACCTATAATTAAATAATTAAATAAATTATATTTTGGAAATGAATATATTTGACATCTAAATTCAATCAAACATAAAATTAATATAACTGTATTGTAAAAATAGTTGCATGCATAAAATAAAAAGCTTGCATCAAACCTTGTATCCAATTTGTAGATGGAGATCACTAGGTTTTGGATGATACTTCAAATCAATCCTATCTCCATTGTCCCTTATAATGTATTTGGCACCTGGATACTGATTGTTTCCCCGTCTAACTAGTTCGTGCATCCTATGATAGTTATTTTATTTTAATATATTTTCATTTATTAATCTGGTTTGAACGAAATAGGCGCTTAAATTTAATTTTCGATAGTTAAGTAGTTAGTTCTTTTTACTTATAAGATTCAATCGTCCGTTTAAAAAATGTGTGAACTAATGACAAGGAAATACTAAATTATTCAAAAATAAAAAATCTATCTTTTTTTTTGAATGAGAATAATGAATAAATAGCTGATCATTTACTTATATTTTTTTAAATTATAGAAAATAAACAAATCGAATCAATGATATATAATTTAATATATTGTGAACTGGTCAATGTTGAAGGGCGTCACGATTTCTGGAAAAGTCAAGTTTTGTGCGATCATCCGAGGAACGCCAACCTGATCTATGCTCAAATTAGGGTCTGGGGTTATAACGGTACGAGCGGAAAAATCGACTCTTTTTCCCATAAGGTTACCTCTTATCCTACCCTCTTTGCTCTTTAGGCGGGCTTTTAAAGATTTTAGTGGTCTTCCTGATTTTTGGACAGCCTTTATTTTTTTAGTGAAATAAAAGGAAACGTTTTTTTTAGTTTATGTATATGTCAATTTAAAAAAAACTGTAAATATTTAAGAATTTTAGACTAATTTTATATCGTATTAAATCATGCTAATAAAGTTATTAAAACCTGAGTTGTGCTATCTTTTTTGGTAGCTATAGCTAATAGCCGCTACTTTTTTTTTAATTATTTATTTTTTAGCGCGCTACTTTTTTTAAAAGTATAATGAATGTAAGTATAAACATGAAAATTTAAATATAATATCATAATTAATTTTTTTTTATATTATAATAATGATATATTATATTTCAAAATGTTAAGAAAGTATAATAATATATATAGAAATAAAATTAATATTAAAATTAACATATCAAATAAAAAATAAAATAAAACAATATTATATAAAAACGGAGGTGGGACTACAAGTTCCCAAAAAACATGAGTAATTATATTTTAAAACAGTGATTTGAAGGTTTTGTTTTAAAAAATAAAATTCTTTTGGTTCTGATGCAAGGGCTCTTGTCTTATCCCCTATATTTTTTAAGAACTTTAAAGTTCCGCTTGGCATATGTCCAAGGGAAGAGATTACGATCGGTGTAAAAATATAATTTGTGAATTTGGAATATACATTGTTTTTTTTTCTCGGCTATATCAACCAGATTAGAATTTAAATTTTTTGGGAAAGAAGATACGCATGTGAAGTTCCAAATTAAGGACCCTAAAGACTTTAAATTCTAATCCGGTTGATATAGCCGAGAAAAAAAAACAATGAAATATTCACAATTCATGATTAATTATAATTTATTATTTAATTTTGAAATTTAAATATATTTTCAATTTTTAATTTATATTTTCAATCTGTGTTAATAATCTAAATTGGCATCGCCCATGGATATCCAAATCCTTGAAAGTGATTAAGACATGGAAGATTCAATGGAAGAAAATGTACTTAATAGCTCTAATAACGATTTCCCATTCCTTAGATTTGAAAAAATTTTTAAAATAAATATTAAAACAACAAATTCCTGTACTTAAAATGTAAAAAAAATATATCATCAAATCAATCGAGTAGCTATAACCTGAAGAAACACCTAAAGGTAAATTGTTATTTTTACATTATACTATTATTTATTTTATTAGACTGTTCATGCCAATTGCTATAAGGAAATAGAAAAACATATAAAAAAATTTGGTATAAGAGAATCTTCATTCAAAAAGACAAATACTATCCAAACCAAATTAACTGATAATAAACATGCCAATATTTCACAAAAATTGGCTGATAAAGTAATTGTTGATTTTATTATTGACACAGTTCAGCTATTGTTGATAATCCATCATTTACTATGATGATTAAAACTTTATCCCCTGGCACAACAGTATTATGTCGCCAGACACTTATGAATAAAATAGCCGACAACTTCAAAGTGATGAAAGATGCTCTAATAGTAGATTTATCAGATATATCTTATGTATGTACACCGGCAGATAGTTGGACACATAATAGAAGGTAAAAACTTATTTATATTTATAAATTGATCTGATTAAATATTTTTAGAGCTACCTTGCCCTCAAGTGCAAGTGTCGAGAGATTATTTAGCAAGAAAGCTTATACTTTCTGATCTTCGCTCTAAACTTGGGGATGATAATATTGAAATGATATTATTATTAAAATCCAACAAATTAAAATAAATATTTATTTATATTGCTTATTTTTCTATAATCTAAACTAACTATATTTTTATATTTATAAATGTTGATTTTTATATATTATTTATTATACATTTACATTATAAGCAAAAAAAAAATAAAAAAATTTGTTTCATTTGTTTCTAAATTTTTTTTATAAAAAGTAGCTTAAAAGTAGCTAAAGCTACTTTTGGAAAAAAGTAGCTAATGGCGCGCTATTTTTTTTGACAAATAGCAAAAGCGGTAGCGCGCTACTTTTAAAAATAGCGTTTAACAACTCTGATTAAAACTATCAATAAATAAATTATGGTAGTATAATGGGGTAAAATAAAAAAATCGAAACTTTGGGTATCCCAGGAATATCGTTATCTATGAAAGTGGATACATGGAATTGCAGCATTTTAACATCTTCAGCTATAATGTGAGCAGCTGCCCCATTTTGCTCGTTCCTTCTGAGGTTATTGTTAGCCTTTATAATGTCCGCTAATTTATGAGTCAAATCGTCCTAAAAATTTAAGAAACGTAGGATGAATATGCGGAAATTGGTAATGTTACTATTTCATACTGTGGCTATTCAAAGTGCTCAAGGGCATAAAAAAAAATTATCTCGTACATTTTAAAATGGCACTTTATACTTCGAAATTTGAACTATATTTTATATATATTTGGATACCCTAGGCTAAGGCCACCAAACCTTTCTCTATGAGAAAAATCTCCAGGCTTACATAATATTATTTTTATATAATCTTAATCAGGCTATTTTTAAAAATCGACCCGAATCTGTCTTTTTAACAACACTAACAATGCTCTGGTAAGGTATGGCATTGGCATGAGCCTAATGATACTTTACTTACAAGATAAAATGCTATATATCCAACTACTTTTGTTAAAATATACCATAAAAAAAACTTAAGACTTTTTTAAATGACTTAAATTGTAAAAGAAATAAATAATTAATTACTTGATTGCGCGTTACGCCAAACATGACAATCGCGGGTCTGACCGGGAGAGGAGGGACAGGCATTACGGTGATTATCATCCAGTCTGGTCGAGCGAATTTTGGGTCCATACCTGAGATAGAGACAAGAATATTACATTTGTGATACAAGTGTATTATATAAAGTTTTTTAAATTCCGATTTTACAGAGTTAGCGTTTAAACCTTTTTTTTTTAAAAAAAGCCAAACTAGTTCAATCAATCATATTTGTTGCAAATGCGCATCAAAAATAGTCTCATTTATCACCTAGAATAATGGATTCTTCGTCGGAGATTCTCTTAAATATCTCGAGTACCCTTTCGGCCGTTAACTGGAATTTCTTTTCGTGAGTGGCATCCTCGTTCAAATTTTTCCATTCGACAAACAGTTCTAAAGCTATTCGCCTGATGCTGGGTTGGTATCGGCCACAACCACTGGCAGTCTTGTTCATAAAATTGAAAATATATTCACATTTTAAAGGAAAATTTTTTATGGCAGATTACGTGAAACATGATTGATTTAAGATTTGTCAATCGAGAATGGCAAAAATAAAAATGTCTACTTTATCAAAGAGGTGTGCCAATAACGATATTCAATAATGAATTGAAACCAAAACTTAGGTCTTGTTTATAATAAGTACAATACAGTGATGTCGTTCGCTTAATTTATAAAATGCAGTGCTAAATTATAAAGTTATGATGCAGTTTCACGGTATTGCCATTTTTTAAAACTGATCCAAATATCATTAATTTTTACATAATTTCCAACAATAATAAATAAATAAAAAGAACCAATATTCAATTTTGATTGTAAGGTTTTATTTTTAAAAAAAGCTAAAAATACTATTTGCAATAAAGAATATGATTTAAAAATATTTAAATGAGTCACATTACACTAAGACTATTCAAAAATGAATTCAAAATTGTTCTAAAAAAAATAGGGTTGGGCCAGGCTTAAGCGGGGCCTAATATTTTTTGAAAAATTTTATGGGGAGCCATGTAGGTTAGATATGATATCATAACATTTTGTCAAATAATTTTTTTTAAAGCAAAAAAATATAACAGTTTCTATATTTAAATAAATTCAAGCTGAGTCAGGGAATGGTACCTCTACAGGTCAATTATTTCAACATTCCTATATATTTCTTTCAACCATGAATCACGTTAAATGGATATTATAAAAATTTATTACTTAACTCTATAAAAAAAATATATACCTAAGAAGATATTATTAAAGAGAATATCCTATCACTTCCTATAATTAATATGCAACATTTAAATAATGTTGATATTAATATTATAAGAAAGAAGTTTAATTTTATGTGATATTTGTCTAAATTGGTATCATTTTCATTGCCAAAATATTCATAAAAACCCAAGGAAAAAATTATTTTATAGTATATACTCAAGGTTATAATATTAATATTTCATGTTTTAATATTTTTTTTATATATTGACATATATAATATTTATTTTACATTATTTATATTAAAAAATGCTTAAACGTATGTTTTATGTCAAATAATAATGCCAAAATATATATTTGATCCCACTTGTCTTTTATAATAAAATATGAAAATATATATTTGATCGATTATTAGCAGATATATTGGAATATAATTTTAATACTTCTCCCCATTACACTAAAAGTGCTGTTATAGAAATAGATAGCCATCCAGGAGAGATAATATGAGAGGATTAAATGACATAGGGATAATATAAAAACCTCAATGATAGATATCGAATTATTGAATAGATATAAAGAAATTGAATTATATCATTAGGAACTCAAATAATATAGAAAATCTAAATATTTTAGCTAGGTCATAAAAAAACTAAAAACCAATTCAAATTAAAGATAAATGTTATAATTTAGAGCAGCCAACCATATTTGTTATAAAAATATAATTTAATTAATTTTTTTTAATAATTATAATTTATAATATTTAAACTTTGAATATTATACCTATTATAAATTATATTGACCAAGTATATCATTTGTAATTAATTTCTATAAAAAAACTTAGATTTTACTTTTTCTTTTAGCAAACTTTCTTCATCTTGATTTGCCATTTCTACATCATTACCACCTTCACACATATGTTTCCCTTTACATAAATCATACACATATGCTAATCGTTTTCGCGGCAGATTTTTTGTTTTATGAACTATTTCTTTGATTTTCGAATTATCCTAGAATAATATAAAGCTCTAAAAATGGCTATATATATTTATACCGCTGGTATTTTTAGTCTTGAACAATAAAAACAAACACATCTAAGAATTTTTATAGTATTTGACAAAAAGCCAATATGAAAAACAGGTTTAGCTAATTCGATATGAGCAAAATGCCCTGGACATTCAGACATATTTCCGGCACATGTTTGGCATCTCGATGTCCTATCTATAACACCTTGACGTGGATCCATTAAACCACCCAATTTAGGTCTACCTCCTTCACGCGTTTCAGGATACTGTATACCACCTTCAACTACTGACATTTTACGCTATTTTTTGTTATTAATTTATATTATATATATTTATTAATGATTTACTATCTGATCTGGACTAAGAATTCCAAATTGAACACTTTTAACTAATTTGAGTGGTATATTCGATTCAGCCATCACCATTTTAAATATATAAACCGAACGTATGAATTCTACTTATTTTATGATAATCCTAAACATTAACCGCATGAGAATAGTCTAACTAGATTAGACTGATATTGAGAAAATGTTTATATTTATAATATTTGATTGAAAAGTATGGATATTAAGCTAAAAAGAACGATTTTAGCAATATAAAAAAATAATATTATGATATCTTTATAAAATACACACTAAATATATACTAAAATATATAAATACGAAATAGAATTAATTTGAATATAAAAATTGATAAGGTAAAATATGACTTGCTATAAGAATATACGTTTAAATCATTTTTTATATGTTTGATTCATTGGTTTTCCCATGTTTATATAATTTCTTACGTTTTTTTATGTAAATAAATTTTAGGGTAGGGACCAGAATATCGTTCTGAAGGTGTAATTAGATAAATAAGATTACAATGAGGAGCAGTTTTATCTTAGATTGTATAAAACTAACACAACTTAAAATTTGCAATATGACCTTTATCTTTACGCCAATTAATATTTTGATAGCGTCTTTTATTTTTCCCAAAAAGGGGCATATTTTTATGCATATGACCATCTTATATTTTTAAACTCTTAAATTTTAATTAACGGGTTATTCGTTAATATTAAAATTCTTAATAATTTTATATATTATAAATTAGAATAAAAAAAATCCATAATATTATTCTCAACATATTTGGTTAGTCATAACTTTTAAAAGATCACAAGGGTTAGTGGACCTCAGATAAGTTTACCATGTAAACTTCAGACAACTTCGTTACTGAAACCCCACAATTACATAAGAAATTAAATAAAAAATATGGGTTTATTCGATATTAAATTATATTTATAATTAATTATTATAATTTAATTTTCATAATTTAATCATTTTAATTATTATAACTTAATAATTATAATTTATTCTGTTTAATATTATAATTTATTAAAATTCATTAAAATTAATTTTATATTATATTTTTGTAAATATTATTATTTATTTAAGTTTATTCTAGTTATTAAATAATTTTGTTTTATAATTTATTGTATTTTATTAAAATATTATTTTTCAACATCTATATCATTCCTCTATTTGAAAAATTCATAACCACGTCTTTGAATTATCAAATTGATTTGTGATCGCGAGTCGTCAGTTGTATCAATGATTTTTATGTAGTGTCAATATTTTATTCAATAACTAAAATTTTGATTTAAAATATTTTTAAAACAATTCTTTAAGTTAATATTATGATTTAAAATTTTTATTTTTAATCATTTTTATACCTCCAAATCACTTTCCGTTTTTATCCAATTGTCCTTGCAGGCCTGAAATTGGCTGCAGAATATTTAAGATTAAATTAGCATGATGGTTTGCTAATAATTTATTTACATATAAAGCTATCGAAATATTTTTTAGATATCACATTTCGTAGAATCATTTTTGCTCCTCAAAATATATATTTTGTAACTTATAATTTTCTTTTTAGCATAGGTTATATATTATCACATTTTGTTTATAGCATAGTTTTATATATCATAATCTTACTATCATATTTTTGCGAAATACTCTACACATTATCTTTTCCATTCCTCAAAATGTTATAAAATCATTATAGCGAGCAGATGTGATAAAATAGACGAAAAATTTAAATATATTGGAATATCTTTGGGTTTGAGATTGAAGTATTTATTATCTTAATGGTAGTTTGCTACTTTGAAAACTGTACCTATAACAATATCCTAACGTTAGCCACCCTCCAAAAATTTAAAAATAATATCTTTTATTTTATATAGCTTGTTTCTGGTTCCAATTTTTATTTTGCAAATATTTTTTAGTTTATCCTATTTTTTTTATACATTGATAGCCTTTAATGATTTGAAATATTTTATAAAACATGTGTAAAAAAAAATTTAATTCTTTTTTAATTATAATTTTTAAACATATTTTTTTAAGGGATGTGAACCCGGACCCGAACCTGAACTATTATGGCTAAACCCGAACGCGGACTAGGATTCTTTTTAAAAGTGGAGGGTTCAAAAGTTCTAATTCTAAGTATCAAAAAATATACTAATAAAAATATTTCCCTTTAAATTCATGAAATCAATATTTTTTTTGGAGAAGTCATTTATATCTCTTTTTAAAAAATTTATGGGGTTTTATACTTTCATTTTATCGCTTGTTTAAATTTACATCAATTTGAAGGTGATATGTGTAAATTTTGTAGCGCATTTAATATTTTTTATTGTAAATGATAATTTTATAATAGGCTTTACAATTGGAATTAGTGATCTGCATCGGGCCTAATTTTTTAAGCCTGGACCGGTCCGATTTTATTTAATTATAGAAATTAATTTTTATAATTACACCAAATAAAAGACATAAGTTATATCGCGTCTAGTTCTATAAATAAAATAAAAATTTTTATTTTACACAAAAAATTAAATATTAAAATTGATAAATCTAAATGTATTTTAAAAAATTTCCAAGGCCCTGCCCGACCCGGCCTGATTTTTTTTAAATATTAGACCTACCCGCCCCGAACCCGATTTTTTAATTAAATTAGGCCCGAGCCTGCCGAAGCCCGTTCGGGCCGGATACAAGCCGAGCCTTATTTTGCAGATCTCTAATTGGAATACGTTTTTTATATCATTTTTAGAATGTAAAATATTGGGAATTTGTAGCAGACACGTAACCAAGTCCCCCTCCCCCATAAATTTGTTTGCTATCGTAAATATCAATTTAAGGTAATAAAAATTGACCCCATAAACAGCCTCACCCCCAAAAATGTGAACAATATATTATGAATTTGAAAGATAAATTAGTAAAAGTTAATAACTTTTTAAATATAGATTATAATTCAATTTTTTTAGAAAAAAGCATTTTTGTAAAAAAAGTAAAACACAAGATTATTTTATTAAAAATCGAATATAGCCAAAGGTCTACAATACATGGACCTAAAGATCTCCAGCAAAATTCATGGGGTGACCTAATTATGTTCCCCCTTTCCTAACAAAATCCTATAAACGCATATTATATAGTGTACATATTAATATTTTAGTATAAATGACTATAAAGGGATATGCGATTAAATAAACCATTTATAATAAAAATTATTTTTCAAATTTTTAACATGTAAATTATACTTGTTTAATATTTATACGGAGTTTAAAAAGTAAAATTGTGTTATTTTACCTCAATTATATCTTTATGATCGCCACCCTGGACCCGAACCCTATTTTTAAATTTTATTCCTGAACCCGAACCCGAATTCTTATTTTTCCAAAGGGTTCCTCCCCGATTTTTATTATTATTATATTTCAATATCATTCTTCTTTTTTTTTATAAATTGACGAAATAAAAATTGATTAAATTTTATTAAGGCTGTGTCCAAAATGTTTTTAAAAAATATTTATAAAATTGGGTTTTCATTTTCTTTACAATATCTTGATCTAGCTATTATTCAATAATAAATATTAAATAATAGAATATAAAATACAGAAAGTATCCTCAAATGAAGCAATTTCAATATTTTGATCAAATGGGTTTTCAATTTCATTAAGGTATTGTGCAGCCTATTAAAAATATATTTTTAAAAATAAAAAACTATTTTATATTTATGTCTTTAAATATTTTAAATTTGTCTGTGTCAATTTAAAACTTGAATCAGAATATTTGGTAATATTTTCAACATTCTCTTTTATCCATAAATATTCTCCAACATATAGTAAATCTTAGAATTCTGAATTTTAAGTCATTTTTGCACCAGTGGTTCCTGTACACTCTTATGCTTTCCATAAAATTATATTCTGACACTAAAAAATGTAATAATATAAAAGGCTATTATAATCGTTTGGGCTAAAAAATTTATAAAAATTAACAGCATTAAAAATTGTACTTACTATTTTTTTATAAAAATTTAAAAAAAAAAAAATTTTGAATCGAATTTTTTTTTTATTTGTTTTTAAAAATAATAAATTTTTATAAATACTGAAAAATGAAATTGGACCATTTTATTTTTACATTAAAAATAGCTTATGTTATTTTTTTCTTCAAAATTTATTTATTTATATTTTTATGAATTTGGAAGTAGGCCTAAAACGAATTATTTGTTATTTGATATTCGATTCGTATTATTCGAAATTATTTATATATAAATATTCGTAATTATTCGCAAATATTTTATTGCAAGTAAAATAAAAAGAAGTAATTAAATTTTCCTAGTGGATATCATTTCGTTTTATTTTATCTCCTATTATCAAATATCAAATCATAACAAGTTATATTTGCTGAAAAAGTTTAATGGAAGAAAAGGAAAAGCTTCAAAGTAAAATATAATTAATTTATTTTGGTTGTTTCTCTTTAATCATTTTTGATTGTTTCTCTTTAATCATTTTTGATGTTATGAACAATTCAAAACATTTTTATAGAGTGTGCCTCTTTCCCATATTCTCGAGCTCCTGGCAGATAAATAACTAAATTTTTTTGACTAATTCTTATTATTTGATTAGGAAAATCCTTTTTCCATTTAGTAACCTTATTTTTGGCAAATTTTTAAGACAATCTAATTCAGATAGTGCATTATAATATCTTCATCATCTATTACATTGTCATAATCACCTCTAAAAATTATATTAATAATTAAATAAAAGAAATTTATGCTACTAAAGTATTTTTATATATTAAATAAAATCTATAATGAAATACTTTCTAAAATTTTGTTATATTTTATATGCAAATATTTAAAATGTAGATATTTAAAAAATTTTATTTTGTCATAATCATTTTCACCTCGCTAAGGTAAACTGCTAATGCTTAGGTAAAATTTTTTATATATTATCTTTTATTTGTAGTAAGATCCATTTTCCTATGATATAAATAATTTGTAAAAAATTAAATTTTTAGATATATTCAATAATAAAGAAATATACATTAATAGTTGAATTATCTTTTATCTCATAATAAATCTTTTAATATAATTATATTAAAGATATTAATAATTAAATTTTAAATTACAATAA